CTTGTGTGTTGGGAGTGACGGTCAATTTGCATATTACCTCTTTATTACACAGGATTATTATATAGGATATTAATGAGCATTAGAAAAAGCACAACAAATGCCTCAAGCCTGTGTTTAGGTGTGATTGCTGAGACTAGGCTGATGTGGGTACGTAGTAAGCACATGACATATTAGCTGGCTCAGGAAGGCCAAGCAGTGGAGAGGTCAAGACCAGGGACTCTGCAGCCAGTTCAAACACTGGCTTCACCACTGAAGCCTGGGTTTTCTCTGTACAATGATGTTGACAACAGTGGTACCTACCACACAGGTTGTTTGGATAATTAAGTGCAAGATTGCATTTGCCTGTACAGAGCATGGCCTGGGAGCTGGTTCCGGGCTTTGTGAATGCTGGTTCTTCATTTTTATCACTCAGACAGGAAAACTTTGGTGGTGGTGGTGGCCCGCCATGAAGGAAGGAAATCCCAGAAAGCCCGGCAGGATGGCTGGCCATTGCCAGGCTGCTCCCACATACCTTGGTTCCATTTCTTTTTGACAAATTATTTTGGAGGAACTTCCTGAAAAGCCATTTTTGTTTTTGACAGAGTGAACACCAGCAGTACAAACTCGTGTCTTGTCAACGTGAGCAGCAGTCAGTGGAGCTGGCCCAGGTGTAGCAGAAACGTCACAGGGGACTGCCACCCACACTCTCCTATGGAGCTCCGAGAGGGCCTGGCCTGCAGCTTGCCCGTGGCTCCTTCTCTCTCTCCTTCCCAGAGCTCCACAGCTCTTCGCCTGACCAAAACTGAGAGATGCCAAGATCACCAGGTTTACCTGACACCTATATATAAATGTTTAACCTTATCAGCTGCTGTGACCTTGACATGCCCTTGTCAACATGCCATTTGGACAGTGAGTCCCTCCCCACCCTGCCTTCCTCAGATTCCATCAGCCTCTTTCTAGGCTCTGGGTTTTGGGCAAGAAGACCCCAGGAACCAGCTTGATCCTCACTTTGCCTACTGGATCCTGGCTCTCCGTGGTGATGGGTGTGAGGACACTGCCCTGCCTGCAGGCTGGGTTTCCCTGCCGTTCCCACTGACCCCAGCAGTGGCAGCACACAGACCAGAGGCCCAGCCTGCCTGCAGGGTCAGACCCAGGCCCCACCTCCAGCTGCTTGAATCTCCTTTGCTGGTGGCACAGATTCAGAGCCCTCCCCAGTCAAGTGACAAGCCAGGGCCCCACATCACAGCCAAGTCTCAGCAAGCTCCCCACCACCCAGGTTCTTACCTCAGGTTGTTCAGGATAAAATGTCACAACTAGTCATGCTTAAATGGTCTCCTCAGCAAGCCCATTACTGTCTGGAGTCCAGCCACTGGTGACACTCAGAGCCACCACTCTCTCCACCCTGCAGTGGTCTCTTCCTTGGTCACCCCACTTCCACTTCCACCCTGGCTCCCATGTGGCAGCAGAGGGATCTTGTTATAGTGTAAAGCTGGTCACGGCAGCCCCATCTGCAAAGCCACAATGGTCTGCCTGGCACCGGGTCCCTCTCCTGGTCTCATTGTGTGCTCTGGCGCTTGTCCACCTTGGTGACCTCCTCTCAGCCCCTCTTCCCCCCACTCCCTGTGCTCCACCCTCCAGCCTTCTTTCTGATTCCTGCGCTAACTGAGCAGCTCTTTCCCACCTCGGGGCCTCTGCACGGCTTTCCCCTCTGCAAAGGGCTAGTCCTGGAAATAATTCAGTCTCAGTTCAAGACTTTCCTCCTCAGAGATGCCCAGCCATCACCCTGTTGCTGTCTTGGTAGTATCATCACTACTCCACCTTCATGATTGTTACCTATCCCTGCCCACTGACACATAGACGCCATGACAGCAGGGTCAGTGTATTGCTCACTGGATCACCAGGGCCTGGACCAGGGCTGGCACATAGTAGGTGCTCAAGACCCAGGTTCCTGGTGAGGTCCGAGAAGATGACAACCTGTTGCCCACCCCACCCAGGAGTGGACTGGGCTGAGCTGGAGCATGCCCTAACCTACAGCCTCACTTGCTGGTCCTGTCCATGCACCAGGGCACATCCCCGGGCCGCATGCTGCCAGTCCTGGACTGCTACCTCAACTCCCCAACCCAGGGCTCGTGTACTGAACTGAAAGCCTGCAGCTTTAACTGTGCTGGAATCACAGTTAAGCTTGCCAGGAGCTACACACCCAGGTGCCTCCAAAGCCACCTGTGGCCAGGCGGCCCCAGGCAGATAGCCTGACAGAGCCAGTCAGAGCCCGGAACTTGAAGCCTGGGTGTGAATCCTGGCTTCGCTGTCCTGTCTGTTACTCAGAGTAAGTAACTCTCATGTCCTCAGCTCCGGTCTCCTCATCTGTGAAATGGGAGAACAGGCAACAGTCTCCATAGGAAGTTCTGAGAGTTTGCTGCCTGTCACCCACTCCCTCTGCCTCTGCAACACACCAGTGTTTCCTTCACAGAACCTCCCGGACCTAAGCCAGCAACGAGAAGCAACTCCGAGCTTTGCTGACAGTTGTGAGGACAGTGCCAGCTGATCCTGGCTGAGCACTTGCCCGGAGCCAGGTGCTCCTCAAAGCAGTCTATCTACCCAGCCCTTTAACCCTGAGGCAACACCTGCAGGAGGGTTTATTCTCATCCCTGTGCGGGGGAGGGGAGAATGAGGCCCTCAGAGGCTAAGGAGTCTGCCCAAGGTCACTGAGCTAGACGGTGGTGGAGGGCAGGGTTTGCACCAGGTGGTCAGGCTGCAGAGTCGGCCATGCTGGTTTCCGCCAGGGTTGTGGGCTGGGCTGGTGGGCTGTAAGCCCAGAGCTGCAGGTGGCATCGCACCACCCCTGTGCGCTTGTTAGAGAATGAAGGGCACGGAGAAGAGCGCAGAGCCGAGAGGCAGGTGCCGACACTTTAATCACCTGGATCTGGCTGTGCCAAAGCATCACCCCCATATGGACACTTTAATTACACTGGTTGATACAGACCAAGGAGGGGAAACCTTTTTCCTGCCAAGGGCATATTTATAACATCATTCGCAGGCCATACAAAATTGACAACTTAAAAATTAGCCTGCTATATTGGGGCAACATTTAATTAACTCACCCAGACCAAATGGATGCTCCCCATCCCTGATATAGACTCTGCCTTATAGCCACTTTTTTTTTTTTTTTTTTTTTTTTTTTTTTTTTTTTTTTTTAGTTATCTGCCATCTAAAATGTCTTGTCTTGTTCAGTCTTTCCTCCCAGGTGGGTGTTGGGTTGTGATCGGGTTAATCAGAGAATGCCTGGGTGCTGGAGCTGGAGCCCACACCGAGGAGCCGCCTACCACCCGAGGGAAGGGAGAGGGTGTACAGCCCAGCTGCCTCCCTCCCAGGGTGGGAACAGCAACCAATGTGGGGGCTGGTGCTCAGCCCTGGCCCCAGCTCCCCAGCCAGGTGGCACTCTACCGCCCAGTTAACTTGCTTGGTGATGAAGCCAGTATTGGCTCCCTCGCTTTCCGTCCCCTGCCAGGAGCCATCTCCCAAATAAATTACTTGCTCTTGAATCCCTCTCGGAGTCTGTTTCTGGGGAAATCCAAACCAAGACAATATTTACACAGCATGGAACAGATGCTCACTAAGTCAGTGGTAGCTCTTGCTATTCCCCCTCCCCCTCTTCCATCTGCCCTGAGCTGCTGGGAAAAACTCCAAGCTTAGGCCTCAGGCTCAGGTGTGTGCCCACCTCTGGACCATTACTGTGGGGGAGAGGCTGGTTCCCACCAGCAGGTCCCTGGGCCTGTCCCTGCAGGCAACAATCGCTCCAGCTCCCCAGTAAACATTAATGAAATGCCACAGCCACAGAGGTCAGGGCCCCTGACTCAGCCTGTCTAACAGGGCTGCTGGCTGGGGCTGGATTTTGCCCAGGACACCCCAGGACGCCAAATTCCGGACCAGGATGCCTTGAGCTCTTTGTGATCCTTTGGTCATAGAAACCAGAACAAGTGCCCCCTCATCTCCACTCAGACCCACTCAGTCACTGGATTTGACCCAGGGTAACAGGCAAATGGTTTCTCTGCAGCCTCAGTGTGTGGAGTCTGCTGGTTAGGGACACAGTAGTGAAGTTACTTCACTGGCGATGGAGGCCTCCACCTGCCACTTTCCAACTGTGTGAATCACCTCCCTGTGCCTCAATTTCATGTCTGTGAAATGGGACCATCACAGGACTTACCTCGAAGGCTAGTTACAGGGCTGTAATTTACTTATATGATCTGCTTACATAAATTACATATGTAATTTACTTGCATAGGATATAACTAAGAGTTTGCAACGGTGGCTGGGCCACACACTCAGCATACCTCTCATTTCATCAGAAGAGCAGCCATAAGCTCCTTTGCACCTTTAGAACTTAGTGCCTTTTGCATGTATTTTTACCCACATAAAGTAAGCAAGTTAACTGAAAAATAAAATAGATGCTCAATTATAAATTTTCAATGTCTTGTCATAGAACGAGAAAGTAGGTGTGATATTTATGTGTTCACTAGTCTGGGCCTCGGGGTGTTTCTGAGATGAGATTTTAGATGAGATTAGCGTTTTAATTGTGGAATAAAGCAGACTGCCCTTCATGGTGCGGGTAGACCTCGTCCTATCAGTTGAAGGCCTGAATAGAACAAAAAGACTGACCCTGGCAGGGGAGAGAATTCTCCAGCAGACTGCCTCTGGACTTCCTCTGCAGCCCGGCTCCTTCCTGTGCGAGGGCCTCTGAACTAGAACATTGGTTCTCCCTGCGTCTCCAGCTGCCAATCCACCCTGCAGATGGGACTTGCCAGCCATCATAACTGCCTGAGACATTCCTTTTTCTCCCCCCGCCTCCCTCTCACCATAGGTTCTGTTTCTCTGGAGATCCTGACTAGTAATACATTTGCAAAAGGTCAGCTCAGATCTTGGCAGAGAGAATAATGAAGGTAGGCCTCCTCCATCAAAGCACCCTACTGAGAGTGACCCAAGCCCTGGCCAGCCCTGCTCAGGGGGGCCCCCAGAATTCTTACTTGAACATGGCCTCTCCTGGTCTGGGAACACAGTGGGGGGCTGGGGAGTCAGGCTTGGCTCTGGTTTGTTGGGAACGAGGACCTCAGCGTTGTCCTTTCGCTGAGCAGACAAAATCCTTTCCTTTTTATTACCTGTAGGAAAACAATTGTTTATATGTCAAATACGGAGTGCAAGCAGAGTTGGGATATTCTGCTCAGGCATCTGTTTATTTGTTCATTCATTTATTCATTCAACAAATATTTACTGAACCCTACCTCCTGCCAGGTACCACGCTAGCTTGGAGTCAGAGATGTGGATAACACAGACAATGAAACAAATTTGCTGAAAGCCACCATGCATTTTGGCAAATAAATGAAATATTCTAGGACACACACAGGTTTTTAAATTTTAACATTTATGAGCAGGTGTTGGGTTTAACTGGCAGATAAAATAATGGTGCAACCGAGGCCCCTGGAGCTGAAAGAACGCAGTAAAGCACAGGTTACAGCCTGCGAGGGAAGGATGGCTGGATGGAGCAGTGAGCAGGGCCGGGGAGGAGGGCTCTGGGACCAGAGCATGCAGCCTGCAGGACGGCACTAGCTGTGCAGCAGACAGTCAGGAGGCCTCCCTGGTGGCTAGGATGTTACCAGGGACACGAAGCTGGGGAGGGAACAGCCTGTGCAAAGGCCTGCCAGCTGGAAGGCATGTGGCAGGTGAGCGGCTGGGGCCTGGGCTGGTGAGTGGACAGTGAGGGCCCAGAGGCCACACTTTAGAGTCAGTGTTTCCAAAGGGGGGGCGCCTGGACCACTGGTGGGACCAGAGATGATTCCAGATGCCTTGTGGACAAACAATGTTTTAAGCAGTTATATGCCTGAATGTGTGTGTGGGGAAATGTAACCATCATATCAACCCTTGATTTCATAAGCATTACTGCTGGAACAATCCTAGAATTATGAAGAAAAGAAAGGAGGGGAGGGAAGGAGAAAAGAATGGTTCTGGTTAAACAACAGCGAACAAGCAGTTTGTGGAAATGGCAAAAAAATTGTGAAGAGGCTTTGCAAATGGCTCAGATTTAGGGAAAGGGCACCAGGGCCTCAGCCAGCCAAGAGTCAGAGCAGAAATTGGAGGACCACCGGGCGGGAGGCAGTGGCTGGACAGCATGAAGCACAGGCAGGGGAGGAGTCAGGCACTGGAGGCAGGACCCCTGGCCTGGAAGGCAGGGGACCTGGGAAGGACCTATGGAATGAGGTGTGACGGGCACCAGCAGAGGAAGTCCTGGGGCTCATGCTGGCCCCAAGGAAAGGGAGTCCCAGAATCAAGGGTCCCGCAGGATTCCTGGGAGCTCGGGGAAGATGTTGGGACTATGCGGAGTAGGTCAGACTTGTCCTAACCCCTCCCCGCTCCCCTCGTGACTTCAGAAGGGCCCGTGTTTCTCTGCACTTTTGCAGTAGCTGCTCCCTGTCGGACTGACATCCAGTGCCCAATGCAGCCCCGTGTGTGATGACCCCCGGTATCCAATGGGGCAAGACAAAGCATGGAGCCACAAGACTGGCTCCCCAAGTGCTGAAAACATGCTGGTGACAGGAAGAGCGACAGGCTCTTGAGAGCCCAGGCACTGTGAGGTCCTGGGCACACGTGTCACATCTGCCCCCCAGCCATCCTAGCAGGTAGACCGGGGGCAGGATAACGGCTCCCAAAGATGGCACGTCCAAGCCTGGAACCTGTGAGCATGTTAGGTTATGTGCAAAGGGAATGAGCCGGGCTAGTCAGCTAAGTAAGATAAGGCGCTCATCGCAGATTATCCCAGTGGAGCCAGTGATCACAGGGGGCTGGAAGAGGAACAGCTTCAGTTTGGGATGAAGATCTTCTGAAGACAGTGTGACTACACAACAATGTGAGTGCGCTTAACAGCAAGCTGCTCCTAAAAATGATGCAAATGGCAGGACCCACATTACGTATATCTTACCACAAAAACAACACACACACACACACACACACACACACACACACACACACACACACGACAGCAGCAGAGGAGGTCCAGGGGAAGGTGTGACTATGGAAGGAAGGCACAGAGAGGCAACGTTGCTGGCTCTAAAGATGGAGGAAGGGGCCTGAGCCAAGGAAAGGGGGGCCTGTGGAAGTTGGAAAAGGCCGGGCACCACGTCCTTGCCTGGAGCCCCTGAGGGATCACAGCGCTGTTGACAATGTGATCTCAGCCCAGTGAGACTCACATCAAATTTCTGACCAATAGGACTGTGAGACAGTAAATTTTTGTTGCTCTAAGCCTCCATGTTTATGGCAATTTATTACAGCAGCCAAAGGAAACGAATACATTACTGTTACAGAGCAGGGCTCTGAGGCCAAGCCATTTGTACAAGGTCATGTGATAACCCAGCATTTGACCAGGACTGTCTGGCTCGGAGCCCTGCCCTTAACCACTTTATTCCCTGTATCTAGTCCGCCTCTCTCCATAGACAGTCCTGCAGAAACTGTGGCCAGGAGGCCTGCCGTAGCCATCAGAAGTCTAGAAAGGTATTCCCCAGGCTCTAAGGACCCAGCCCCTTGGAAAAGAACTGGGATCACTGCCGGTTGCATCTGTACCGTGCTCCCTGGCCCACCTTCTGTCCCGGGGTATACCAGCTCTTCCCTCCCCAAGCCCTTTGTGCTTGTCTTCCCTGCATGGGATGCTGTTCCCACGGCTGCTTCCTCCTCATTCCTGTCCCAGCTGAGACGCCCCCTCCGCTGGGGAAGGCTTCTCTGGCCCCCACCCCCAACCAGTGGCCTGTTTTAGAACCTTCCCAGCTTCAGGGCTCTGAATTCCTCAGCTAACCCAGCCCTCCCCTTTCCCAGTTATCAGAAAATAACTGCTGCCCTTCCCTGTGCTGCTCCCTCCCTACCTCCAGTCACAAGGAGGACAAATGCAATGGGAGCAGGGGCGGGAAGCCATCAGCGCTCAACCCTCCTCCCTCTTCCAGCCGCCCCACCGCTCTCAGGGCACAGGGCCTCCTGCTGCCACGCTGACGCCGCCATGGTCCAGTCCGCCAGCATCTGTGTGGCAGAGGTCTGTCTGCTTCAGGGGGCAGTCCCTAATAGCCGCCCATCCAGCTCTTACCAGCAGGAAAGGCAATAACTCGCCCTCCTTCTGTCAGAGCCCTGTGCCTCTCTCTCATTTGTCTCACAACTCAGAAGGAAAACCAGAGGGGGGGGACTTCCGGGCCGGCTGTCGCTTACGGAACCACCTGCTTTATTTGTTTAGCCCAGTGATGAGGAGCGCAGGCTCTCGCTCACAGTGCGGAGACTGGACCCCACGCTGCCCCTCTAGCTGTGACCTTGGAAGCCACGTGACCGCTCTGTGCTTCAGCTTCCCCGTCTGTAAAACAAGTCCTTGCCTGGGGTTGTGGTGAGGATTAAAGGAAGGACTAAATGTACACCCCCTGGAACAGTGCTTGGTTTGTGTTAATAAGAAATACTGGCAATTGTTATTTATGTGTTTTCCCTGCTAGGATGAAGAGCTGTGGGAAAAGGGACTGGGCCAGCTGTCCCAGCACCCTGCCTGGGAAAGATGTGTGTCCAGTGAGTGAATGAATGAATGAATGAATGAACGGCTCAGAACAAGCACATCGCTCCAGGTTCCAGCTGACTGGTGTTGAGTAAAAGCTTAGGGTTAGTTCAAACTCCAGGCCCACACGGGGGTCTGCAGAGACCTGACAACAGGCGGGCCGTGGGACCCCTCCTGCTCCTCTCAGGGCAGCTGTCTCCTGCGGCGGCTCAGGAAGCCGCCAGATGGGGCTAACGGAGAGATGCTGATGAAAGGGGGCAGCTGGGGTGGCAGGAGGACACGGCCTGCCCTTCTGTGCTCACAGATCAGACATCACCGTGGTCCATGCAGGGCCTGCCAAGCAATCTCATAGTGAAAAACTAAACGGTCAAGAAAGTGAAGTCCCCTCTGTTCTAGGTACCCCTCTCACATTGCCTAGGATCCACCAGCTCTCCATCTGGGGCTGGTCCTCACACCCAGAAGAGACTTTCATGACACTCCCTTGCCCTCCCCCACCATTTCCAGGATGGGGGCTTGGTCAGCCTCTTGACAGACCGCCCCCTCCCCCTCAGCCCTCCTCACCTCCCCAACTTACCCTCCCCACACAGCAGCATACCCAGTAGGGGTGGCACACAGAAGCATCGGGGAGGTTTAGCGGGCACAGCTCCTTCATTTGTTTGACAAAGATTTTCTGAGTGCTGGAATGTGCCAGGTGAGGGCTGCAGGCGGGATGCAGTGGAGGGTAAGAGCTGGCCTGTGCCCTGGCAGAGCTCATGGGCAGGGGATAGAGGCAGCTGGGCCAGCAAGCCGTACATCTGGGGTCAGCGAGCCCCGCACCATGATGGTGCTGTGGGACCAGAGGAGGCACCCAGAGGAGGCCATGCTGGGAGCGCAAAGAAGGCTTCTCGGAGGAGGCAGCCTCTGAGCTAATAAATCTTGAGGGTAAAACAGGGAGCTAAGTTTCGGGGTTCAGAATAGAGAGGGATTTGCAGGTGAGAGACACGTCTGAGGGACAAGCATTCTCCCTGGTACATCAACCCCTGGGTGTGGCTGCCTGTTATTATGTTCCCCCCAAAACCTCCTAGGTTCAAGTCCTAACACCCAGCACCTCAGAAGGTGGCTGTGCTGGAGACAGGGCTTCTGAAGAGGGAACTGAGGTAAAACAAGTCAGTCATGGTGGGCACTAACCCAGTATGACTGGCGTCCTTATAAGAAAAGGAAATTAAGACACAGATACACACAAAGGGACAGCCTTTGGAAGACACAGCAAGAAGACAGACGTGTCCAAGCCAAGGGGAAAGGCCTCACAAGAAACCAACGCTGTCATCTGGACTCGTAGCCTCCAGAACCAGGAGAAAATAGGTTCCTACTGCTGTTGAAGCTGCCCCAGCCTTCCGTCCTCCCCAGCCTGTGTTCCCCAGCCTTCTGTCCTCCCCAGCCTGTGTTCCCCAGCCTTCTGTCCTCCCCAGCTCATGGTCCCCCAGCCTTCTGTCCTCCCCAACCTGTGGTCCCCAGCCTTCTGTCCTCCCCGGCTCATGGTCCCCCAGCATTCTGTCCTCCCCAGCCTGTGGTCCCCCAGCCTTCTGTCCTCCCCAGCCTGCAGTCCCCCAGCCTGCTATCCCCCGGCCAGTAGTCCTCCCAGCCTGTAGTCCTCCTGGCCTGTGGTCCCCAGCCTGTGGTCCCCAGTCTTCCATCCTTCCCAGCCTGTGGTCCCCCAGCCTGTAGCCCTCCTGCTCCGGCCTGTGGTCTGTCACAGCAGCCCAAGTGGACTAATACAGTGCCTGAATCACACATCCCCCATTTCCCTTCTTAGATTCACTCATGCTGCCCCCTCTTGTCTGGGCTTGAAATCTGGTTCCTGATAAGGCACCCCAGCAGGAGGAGCAGGAGAGGCCGCCAGCTGCAAGCCAAGGTGGAGAACAGGACTGCAGCAGGCAGGCCGGCCCATGCCCATTGCATTTTACTCTACTTTCCTGGGTATTATCTGAAAAGCCTCCTCTGTGGACAGCTGTGGTTTCTGTCTGCCCAGTGGGCTCTCCCCGCCTTCAGAATTGCCTTGACTTTCCTTTGGAAACTATTATCAGTGCATGTGGTTTGGGTGGGATAACCACACCCATAGCTGGACCTGGCCAATCAGAGCCATAGTAACAGGCTCAGAGATATGATACAATGTGGGCTTAAAACCCAGGGCTGGGACTTTTGCTGGAGCTTTTAGAAAGAAAAATCAACTTTCTGATGGAGTTGCAAAGCCATGAGAAGCAATGTCTCAATTCTGTGTCTGTATGAGGAGCGCCTACCTGAGAACTGCACCAAAACAAGACAAAAGGGGGCAGAGGTGAGAGGGCAAAAGGGAAGAAGAGAAGAGAATGAACAGGGGAGGGAAAAGCAAAGGAGAGAAGAAAGGAGAAGGGAGGGGAGGGGAGGAGAGAAATGAGTCCTGCTAAGCCCTGGACTCCTCATTTATCCAAGCCAACACAGTCCCAGTTGGCATGTAGATACTGCTAAACATCACACGACACACAGGGCAGCCCCCACAACTGCCAGACATGTACCACCTGGAATTTCAGGGTCATTTGAGGCCTTTGACTCTTGCAACCAGCAGAGACCTGACTGATACATCTCTCTGGCCCGTGGGATGGTCTATCCAAGCTGAACTCAAAGAATGGCTGGAAACTTAAGTCCTACTCTTGGAAGCAGAGACACCAAAGACAAGGAAACACCACACAAGGCAGAGCTTACCTCTGGAAGCCGGGTTAAATTCCAGCACCACGAGGGTGTCTGGGCCCCGGGGAGGGGGTCCTGCTGTCTCCTGGTCCTCAGGAACATCCTTCTTCATGGAGTCCCCCCTGGAAAGAGGGGTGCCAGGTCTGGGACTGCCCATCAGGGCCTGGTCCTCAGGCTCGGGCTCAGAGAGCACATCCTCTTCAATGGAGTCATACTCGTCACTGGAACAGTCCTTTTGCTTCCTTTGTAGATTTACACTAAGTTCTAGGCTTTTTCTTAGCTCCTGCCGAAGGTCAAGAAAAGTGAGAAATGAAATATGTCACTTTGATAAAAATCATCTGAAATAGATCATTAGGACCAATAAAATATGTCACTTTGATAACAATCATCTGAAATAGATCATATCCCCGCCAAACTAACATGTACCCAATCATCTCAACCCATGTGTTGTCATCACTTTGAAGACAAGAACACAAAAGGCAGGGACACACAAGCAACTCTGAACAGAACAGTGTTTACAGTACGAACTGTGCTGTTCACATGCCTGGCAAACCACTAAGAATGTGTGCGCATGCATGCATGCATGTATGTGTATGCACATGTGTGTTTCATGTGTGCATGTGTGAGAGAGAGAGAGAGATTGTTTGGTTTGGGGCTTGTTGAAACAGATTGTCGGGTCCTGCCCACAGTTTCTGCTTTGATGGGTTCTGGACAGAGCCGAGAATTTGCATTTCTAACAAGGCGATGCTGGTGCTGCTGGCCCAGGGACCGTATCTGAATATGAAATCCCAAAGGCCTCCAGATGAGCCTGAAATTCCAGATGGTAAGTGATTGGTGCCTGGCTGTGGGGGGGGGCTGTCCTGTGTACTGAAGGATGTTTAGAAGCGCCTAAATGTCACAATATTTAGTACTTAGCTATAACTGCTTGACAATTTTTAATGTGTTTTGTCTCATAAGATTGCAGATTTACAATTTTAAGGCCAAGAATTAAGAGTGATCAGAAAATTCATCAGCAAAACCAGGATACTTCTGAAAAAGAATATTACTATAATACATTTACACTAGGTCCAAAAATGAAAAATGGACTATTTGGGCAAACCGGTGTGTTTGGTTAGCCTTGCTATACTACTCCTGTGGCCCTCACAGTACCTAACATATGTACTGGAAAAGGAAAGCAATCCATAAAGGTTTGGTGGTTAAATAGTGGCTGGGGAAGACTGAATATGACTCCCCAGAATGTCCAAGTCCTAATCCCTGGCCCCATGGCTCAGTGAGGGCTTCTGAGGAAGTGAGAAGCACTGTGGAAAACGGATCATCTTAGAAAAATAATCCTCCACAAACCATGACAAACATGCACATTATCGGTGCTGCTGGTGAGGAAGCGAGGAGCATGTGTGGAGCTAGTGGAGAGGGCATCCGTTATACAGGGGCAGAATCGCAGCTGAACTGGGTTCTAGTTTTACGGTAATGAAACTCTGTCAAGGATGGGCTTGGAGATTTAGCTGAAGAGATTTCCATACAGAGTGTTGAAGATGCAGTCTGGTTTCTTCTTGCTGCCGAGGAAAAAATGTGGGAGGAAAGAGATAGTCTGAAGGGGGAATTATTAAGTAAAAAGGGACTGGGATTTGATGATTTTGGGAAACTCTCAGTCTATTTGGGTTGCAAAGACATTAAGTTAGGAGGTTCGCTGTCAGAAAGCATGCTCTGGAGAGAAAGCCAAGGGGGAGACCGAACAACCTTTGGCTAATATTGCAGAGGACCCAAAGTTTAGGGCCATTCAATCACACTGAGGGCTCTTGGAAGAGATCAGACATGGGCTCGTGGATCCCCTTAGTCATCTCAGCAGGCACCAGGAGTGGAGATGGGATTATCCAGGAAAGATCTATGGAGGAACTTCTTGTCTAATGGAATGAATTCTAGAGGCATACATAGGAGAGCCACGTGATTTTTTAAAATGTCATCCAGCAGAAACACTGCCAGCTACAACTGAATGAGAGAGAGAGAGAGAGAGAGGAGAAAATAAAAGAAGGCTGTCAGACACCCAAAATCCGACAGGCAGGAAACAGGTTGATAACACTACTTCGCTGCAAGTACATTTACCTTCAGGAAAGAAGAAGGATGACTCCAAGAGTGGAGCCCTGAGCCACACAGAATTATTCTTGGGCTTTGAGACATCATGGAGTTGGCCCAGTGGATTTCACGATGGCTTGGGCTTGATGTCATCTTTCCTCCTTTCATTTTCTCCCCACTGTAATGGGGACTGCTATAACTGCTCCCCTGTGCCCGACCCGCCATTGCATTTAGGAGCAAGTAACTGGCTTTCTAGCTTCACAAGCACACAGATGGAGAAGAATTGGCCCTAATATGATTTATATCCAGAATCTCAACCGTACCTGATTTAGATGATAAAGAGGAGACTTAGACTTATTTTGGACTTGAGTTGATACGGTAATGGGTTGAGACTTCTGGGAAACTTGGGACGGGATGAATGTATTTTGTATGTAAGATGGAAATAATTCTTTGGAGGCTAGAAGAAAGACTCCTGTAGGCTAAATAAGTGGCCCCCAAATATGCCCACATTCTAAACCCTGGGACCAGTGAATATCACTTTACATGGCAAAGGTGTTAGGGCAGAAATAGAACATAATTATAAGAAATAGTCATCATGCTCTGTTAACATGATTGTTTTTTTCTGATTAACTTGGTTAGGAGTTGCTCACCTGGAAATGCTGCCTATTATAATGGAAAGATTAACAACCTTGGCCTAGCCAGTTTGGCTCAGTGGATAAAGCCTCAGCCTGCAGACTGAAGGGTCCCAGGTTCCATTCCCGTCAAGGGCACATGCCCAGGTTGTGGGCTTGATCGCCAGTAGGTTGCAGGAGGCAGCCAATTAATGATTCTTATCATTGACTAGAGGCCCAGTGCATGAAATTCGTGCACTTGGGGAGGTGTCCATCAGCCAGGCCTGCACCCTTTCACAGTCCAGGAGCCCTCAGAGGATGTCTGACTGATGACTTAGGCCTGCTCCACCTGGGGGACCTAAGCTGTCTGTCGGACATCCTTAACACTGCAGCAGAGACAGAGAGGCTCCTGCCACTGCCACTGTGCTCGCCAGCTATGAGCCCGGCTTCTGGCTGAGCAATGCTCCCCTAGTGGGAGTGCAATGAACACCAGGGGGCAACTCCTACATTGAGCATCTGCCCCCTGGTGGTCATTACATGTCATAGCGACCGGTTGATTTGCATATTAGCCTTTTACTTTATAGGGTATTTCTATCCTTACCCCTCCCTTCCTCTCTGAAATCAATTAAAATATATTTAAATATACATCTATCTCCTTTATATATATAAAAAAAGAAAGATTAACAACCTTGTTGCAGAAACCAGAGCCGTCAGCCCTTTGAAGACCCCTAGTCCTTTGCAAGTCTCCATACTGCATTACCTGTAAACTGCCCTTTTGCCTACCCTTTTGACATACCCTTTTGCCTACTTCTTCATGTGGTCTTTTGTTCCTCTACCCAATATAAGCTGCTGGCTTATAGGGAGGTGCAGAACAGCTTTTTGTGGATGCTTTCCCAAACCTCCTGCAGGACTGGAATAAACATTCACATATGATTCAACCCAGTCTCTGCTGAATTGGCTCCAGTAGTGACAGGCAGCCCAGATCCCTTCGTTGTCCGGTTACAAAGGGACTTTGCAGGTGTAATTAAATTAAGGATCTTGAGATGGGGAGATTATCCTGGATTATCCAGATAGGCCTAATGTAATCAGGAGGTCTTTGTAAAAGGGAGGCAAGAGGATTAGAGTCTGAAAGAGAAGGTATAAGGATGGAAGCAGAGGTCGGGGAGTAGTAAAGATATTACAGTGCTGGCTTTGAAGGAGAAAAGGAATTCTCCTGTACAGCTTCCAGAAGGAATAGAGGTCTGCTGACTTCTTTTCTTTTCTTTTAATTTCAGGGAGGAAGGGAAAGAAACATCAATGGTAAGGGAGAATCATTGATCTGCTGCCTCCTGCATGTCCCCCAATAGGGATCAAGCCGGCAACCTGGGCATGTGCCCTTGACTGAAATCAAATCTGGGATCCTTCAGTTCACAGGCCAATGCTCTATCCACTGAGCCAAACCGCTAGGGCCTGACATCTTGATTTTAGACCAGTGAAACTGAATTCGGCTTTCTGACCTCCAGCACTGTAAGATAAACCACTAAGTTTGAAGTATATCGTGACAACAGCAGTAGGAAACTTAAAGAGTTGTCTATCTTTCACACCTTCTCCCTCCTATCCTTCCCAACACCAAGTACCCTGGTAGTTACTGAGCAAACAGAACACTGTCTAATATATAGTAGGTGCTTGACAAACATTTTCTAAAATGACTGTTTTATGTTGGTGACTAGGTAGTGGCCGGAAGAAGGGGTGGAGAGCACCCACGTGCCTTGGAGGTGGCATAGTGATGAGACCCTTAACAAGTTACTGACTCCTTCTTGCCGAAACCGGTTTGGCTCAGTGGTGGAGCGTGTCGGTCTGCGGACTGAAGGGTCCCAGGTTCGATTCCGGTCAAGGGCATGTGCATTGGTTGCGGGCACATCCCCCGTGGGGGGTGTACAGGAGGCGGCTGGTCGATGTTTCTCTCTCATCGACGTTTTCTGGCTCTCTCTCTCCCTTCCTCTCTGTAAAAAATCAATAAAATATATTTTTTTAAAAAAGTGACTGACTCCTCCAATCTGCATTTTTCATCCATAAAAATGGGTTAACAATCCCTTCCTCACAGAATTGTTTCATTAAAGTAGCGGTCTGAATCTGGATGATTCTGCCACCCAGAGGACATGTGGCAATAATGAGAGTAGTTCTGGATAACAACGGGGCAAAGGGAGTGCCAGTGGCATCTAGCAGGCAGAGGCCAGAGATGCTGCTGACATCCTAGAATGTACAGGACAGTTGCCCACAACAAGAATTCTCCGGCCCAGAGTCTAGTGGTGAGGGTGAAAAGCTATGTGCGAAAGTGAGCACATACTCATCGACGGCATTAGAAGGGACAGTAAGAGGGCCTTCCCGCGGAGGGCACTGAGGTGGTCCATGCAACCTTCCCGGAAGCCAGACTGAGGTCACGGCTCATGTCTTCAACGTCTGACTGCAGTGGGGCGGTCGGGGATTTCCTGCTCCTCCGCAGGGAATTGAGTTCCTGGGCGACCTGAGGTTTCACAGCTTCCGTTCTGGGTTCTGCGTAGGTGGAGGCAAGGCCAGGGAGACAGCAGGGCAAGCCCTCTCTCTGGAGTCCCGATATGCTTGC